GACCTTCCCTTCACTTAAATCATAAAGAGCTGCTAATCTTTCCTGGGCCTCAGTGTGAGACCGGAGCTCCTTTTAATCCACACAAATGTGTAAATGACTGATGATGCTTTAACTTTCCCAGAATTGGCATTCTGAATAAGGATGTTTACCACCCACTTGAACTAGAGATCTGTTTGGAGGAGGTGGGGCAGTTAATCTCTAAGGGTCCTGGTTCTCCAAGGCTGCTTCCCACCTCACTTCTGAGCCATATGCTGAGTAGGTGCTAGTTTCCTGAGGAAGAAGGGCATGCAGGTGTGGGTTGGAAGAAGTGGTTCGTACTTTGAAGCCTACAGCACTCTACAGCAGAAGTGTGAGTGCTTTGAGGGTACAGCTGGAAAGTGACTGAACCCTCAGATTCCTGATCCGGCAGGTACAGAGTGGGGCTCAGGAGCCTGCGTGTGACAAAAACACTCATGATTCTGACCTCATATTGAAAAAGATGCTTGGGGGTACAAATAATTAGACTGTTTTACAAAACCAGCGTATACTCTAGCTACACCACCTCCTGTAGGATACTTAACGCAGTAAAAGGAAAATGTGATTTCATTTTAGAGTTCCCTTTCGAACTTCAAGTTGTATAAGCAAGGAACTTAAATGCTTACTGAATCCCACCTAAACTGCTAAGAACAAAACAAGCAAGCACAATAGCCTCAATGGGTCCTTTGAATCAAGGTCCTTTGAATTGTAGTCATCATAGTTTTAGGTTCCAAAATTTCGGTTCCATTCATTTTCAGTAGTTCTTCAATCAAACTTAACATTAACTTTTTTTTTTTTTGAGTTGGAGTCTCACTCTGTCACCCAGGCTGGAGGGCAGTGGCACACTCATGGTCACTGCACTTTAGCCTAGACGACAGAGACTCAAAAACATAAAATAACTTTTAAAAGTTCATTTTATCTTTTTTCAAAAATAACTTTTCCCTCCCAAAAAATTGACAGCAATTTTTCTTTTGTTAATTTTTTTTCTCTTTCACCCAGACTGAAGTGCAGTGGCACGCTCACAGCCCCACAGCCCCAGCAGCCTCGACCTGCTGGGCTCATGTGATCCTTCTTCTGCCTCAGGCTTCCAAACAGCTGAACTATAGGCATTGCGCTACCACGCCTGGCTACTTTTTCTTAATTTATTGTAGAGACAAGGTCTTGCTGTGTTGCCCAGGTTGGTGTTGAACCCCTGGGCTCAGGCAATCCTCTCACCTTCGCCTCCCAAAAGAGCTGGGTTTACAGGTGTTGAGTCACTGTGCCTGGCTCCACTGGACATTAGTGGCAAAGGGCACAGTTCTGGAAATCTACCCTAGGCTTGAAAACCACACTGTATTACCTCTGTGATTGGCTTCTGCACTTCCTAAACCCAAATCTTTCATGAATATGTAGTTAAAAAGTATCCTCTCATTCAAGTATTTCATGGAAAATTATATGCAAATTCTTTCCTTTTTCCTCTGGTGGGTGAGAGGAGTTGAGAGGTAGATGTGAGACAGGAACTCCGTTCTGCCAAAAGGAAAAGAGAAAGCACTTGACTTCCCCCACTCAGATATTTTACACCTGCAGATAATACAAAATGAGATATTTATAATCGGTACAAGACTTTTTGTCTAGATGATTTCAACAAAAGTAACTGGTTCAACAGCTTCTTTCGTCCTAATTTCAGATGTTATTTAAACAATACAATACTTTAGGATGTTTTCAATATGTTATGTTTAATGCAAAAATCACTGAAATTTATATACTGCCTTATTTTTACCTCCTGTAAGTCATTTATTTCTATTTTATGACTAAGGTTACCTGCAACACGGTGGTTAAAATCACTAACTTTAGCCTTCTACAAGGTATTCACACATGCAAGCATGCTTTCTCAGGTCCTTCCCTTCGATTACCTCTGATGTAGCACTTTCAATCTTTGGTGAGACCAGGAATTTGACCCAGAGGAAAAAAGTACTCCCGATACTGCGGGTAGTTGGCCAGTTAGTCCAAGGCTTGGTCAAATATTGAGCTAAGATCAATCCTTGTGTTTCTGGTTCACTTTAGTTGGACACCCTTTTTGATGGGTCTGTAATTAGTACAATTAACAATCTTGCTCAACTGTGTAGGGATCAAGTTTGTGGGTGGAAGAAAAAAAAGAGCACTAACACATTCATTCCATCAATGACAACACTATGCAGCACCTGGTATTTTCTTCCTCTATCACATACGGAGGTAGCTGTCAGCACATTCTTCTTCTGGCAATTCAGAAGAAACTAGATGAAAAACACCAGAGATAACTCTCAGGATGTCCTGAGGACTCTAGCTGTGAATGGGGCAATGGGCTTCGAGTATACAAGTTCATAAAGAAGGAAAGGCCAAATACTCGCCTACTCACCAGCCCTCATTCTCAAGGTTAGCATAAATAAAAGCAAGAAAGGGCTAGGTAAACAGACTTTCATCCTTCTTTGGTTATCTAGCTAAAAATAATATGCCTAAAAGTCTTCAGATGAGCTGAAATGTCCTTGAAAAGGAGCATGTTGCATACAGGTCTCTTTGGCATTCCTAATTCTGTGACAGTCGCCCTAAATCTCTTGGGGAAAAACTGCTGGAAGAAAAAAGATCTCTAATACAGCTGTAATTTGCTCTTATTTCTAGTTTTAGTATGTATTTAAAATCATCAGAAATGAGTTGTTCTGTCAATAACAGAACAAGACTGAAGTGAACCTGACCTATCTAACAACCAACCTTTATAAAGTTGTCAATTAATCTTGCATTAGCAAAAAGGAAAATATGAAAAGAAAATGAAAGTAAAGACAAAAACTATTAAAAAGAAAATGACAAAATTCAAATTTACTTTGAAAAATGTGATTTTATTTTATGAATCAAAAAGAAGTATATTCATGGTAAATTTAGAATGCTTAGTTTTCCGTTATGTCTCAAAATACTTCCCAGATATTCACAGTGCTCAGAACTGTGTAAACGTTAACATCCAATACCACATTTTAAAGAAAAAAATTTAAATGTAGGTCCTATTTCTAAGAAACCCTTCTCAAAGGTCAAGGCATTGGCAATTCTAAATTTAAAATAAAACAATTGTGTTATTGGGAATTTAAGGAATAATAGTTTCAAGAGCTGAAAATCAGATCTCTTTTAAAACAGAATTTTAAAAAAAAATTTGAGGAATTCATACCTGACAACTCAAATATAATACTCTACCCAACTCCCAAACTATTAAATGCATTATTTCACCTTGGAATATGAAAATTATAAAATGGAATCTCTAAATTATAACATATATACATTAATATACCATTTTAACTGTCATTTTTGCTGGCAGAATAATGAAATAAAAAAACAAATTCTAAGTTCAAGGGACAAATGATAAATGCTCTTTCGGTTTTATTTAAGAATCCATCCCATTCTTTGTTGTTTTCTACCCCATATTTTAAAATCATGACCAAAGGCCAAGAGTCAATCCATTTCCCTGAACTGAACCGCCAGTAGGTACAGGTCCTATATATGTGTCCTTTAACAAGCCCAATTCTATGAGAACATGATTTAAGAACACTTTAGAATTCCGACTCTGAGACCCATGTTCCCAAAATCTAGTAGACATTATTCATGGGCTATTCATGTGTACTGAAGCATGTCCAGCATGCAGGCAAACTTACGTGTTCAAATTGAGGTAAAACAGACAAAAATGCTCACTACTAACAAAAGCTTATTTCATATAAACTAATTACGTGTTTTCATAAAAAGAGGCTCACAAGTCAATAAATTCTGATTTCAATCACCCAAAAAATTAAGCCTCTTCTTTTAAAGTCATTATTAGTAAAATAGAAGTTTTAAAATGAAAGAAAACGTATTTCCCTCCCAGAACCTGCATTTTGTAATTAGTGTAATATAACTTCTTATTTTATTTTTCAAATTTAGAAAGAATTCATGTATGGATACTACTTAATATTTTTCCAGGTACCAAGCAATAACAACAGGATTCATAAATAGGATTTTCTTACAGAGGCAGGAAAGTCTGCTAACATTTAAAAAATACCAGTTACTGAGAATTAGCAGTTATGATGAGTTTCTCAGTACAAACACAAATTTAAATCTTGATATTTTTTTTTTTTGGCTAACACTTTAAGTAGTCAAATTTTACTCCACTTGCAGGTTTCAAATCAAAACCAAAAAAACTAAAGAAGATTACCCAACTGGCAACAAGTCCCATATCCCAATGTTATTTTTAACCCAACAATTATAACCTACTGCCAGTAATTAAGTACCTGCTTGTTTTATTAAATAAGCACTGATCAGTTATATAAATAATAATCTGCAAGGATGGTACTTGGCACTAGGTTACCTTAATGCTTCTGAAATAAACAGAAGCATTTAGAGAACACCAGCTCTTAAGCACTTATTTTATCTGTAATCCGAATTATCAGAAACATTTTTAAATGTTACTTTTCCATTGATAGATTCTAGGGAGTCTAGTCCCAGCTAACGTGGTTGATTTTTAAAAACAAATCCCTCAGCCACATGGTAATGGAATACTACACTTGCTTTTTATATCATATGGAAACAGTTCCAGGCAGAGCAAAAGTAGAAGAAAACCTGCCAAATCAAAGTACTGTAAATAAAGTTCCTCTTATGTACCCCAGAGAGAAACCTCAAAATCAAATCAAACATCACCCACTGCCGTCCCCCCCACAAAACCCACCCAAAACACTTTA